ATATATATATATATATATATATTATATGCGTATATAGGTATAAAGCAAAGGGTGCAGCGCACGTAACAATTGTATTTGCTACAAAGGCGCTTCTCCTCACGTTGTGTATATAATATATAATAATAAATAATAAATAATAAATAATAAATAATAATAATAAATAATAATAATAAATAATAATAATAAATAGATAAACAGCTAAAGAGGCCTATTGGCCTCAGGTGTACAGACAGCTGGTTATCAGGATAGGTACCCAAGTATATTTATATGTATATGTATATATACGGTGTATATCCTTGTCTTTTTGTTTATTTCTTTGCTTATTCATCATTTATTTATTTATTCGTTTGTTTTGTTGGCCTTTTTCTTTATTATTTATTATTTATTTATTATTTATTTCTTTTTTTTTTTCCTTATAGCCAGCCAACAACAACAACACAAGCTAAAGAAATAAACATCCCTATTAATGCATAATCTCCTGGTGTAGATGCTGCTGATGCCTGCAGCAAAAAAAACACAAATAAATAAATAAATAAATAAATAAATACTTTTATTTATTTATTATATATAATAAACTATTTCCCTCTATTCCCTGTATATGTACAAAACAATATCTATATAAATAAGATAGCTGCTGTTACTACTATTGAAAGTGTTTATGCTGCTGCAGTGCTGCTTCTGCTGCTGCTGCTGCTGCTGCTGCTTCTGTTACTCCTGCTGCTGCTGCTGTTGCTGCTGGTGGTATATATTTCCTTACTAGTGCCTGTAGACTCAAGGAGTTGGCGGCAGCGACGTCAACATATTTTTCTAAGTCTAGAGGATTGACACCATCAGAAGAAGAAATAATTGCAACTTCGAATTCTTCTCCTTCTCCTTCTTCTGCTCCTTCTCCTTCCTCTATTCCTTCTCCTGTTAATACAAAAGAATGGGGCTTTATTACCCCGGAACTCTTCTGCAGCAGACATATATGCATGCACACAGCAACACAGCAAACAATAAATGTTGTCATGAGATAACAGCATAGAGGCATAGAGAGGACGTAATAGGGAGTAGACCAGCCGCGCATGCATGCATGCAGGGAAAAAGATACAAATAAACCATCATAATTCAATGATCCTCAACCCAATAGCCTACCTCAAGGGCGCTAACTTGGGCACTCTCTTCTTGATCTTCCCGTTGCTGCTGCGTCTGCTGCTGCTGCGGCTGCGGCTGCTGCGGCTGCGGCTGAGAGAGTCTAGGGAGTTTAGGATCAGTAATGCTGGTGATTTTGTCTTCATCAGCAAAGTAACGACGCCAATAATCCTTGTAGGCCTCATCTACTGCATGCGAGAATCTCTCTGCTAGCAGCTTGTGGTTAACCGGCTGTACATACACCCCAGCACAGCAATACGTGCAGACAGATAACAGAAAAACAGCTTATTAACCAACAGCAGCAGAAACAAGCAAACAATATCCACGAAAAACAATAATATAAATGTATATATGCATAGGAAATCTAATTAGCTTACCATTTCTCCCTCAAATCCCTCCGTCACGCTGCCATCATCAGCCAACGTAGAGTTATAAAATTCGGCGAAGTCTACTTGAGGGTTGGGAGTCAACAAAGAAATAAATTTAAATGTTGTGACAGCAAATGCCTGAGGCAGGATTCCCAAATACTCCACGAATATCCGGTCGCTGCGCATACACCCCAGAGCAACAGCACAGACAGCCCATGGTGGGACTTCAGCAAAAAAAAAAAAAATACAGCACAAAGAAAACTGCAAGCAACAAACTAAAAACAACAGAAATAAAGAAAAATAAACAAACAACAGAAGAAAATAGCAGCAGAAACTTACGTGAGGTCTGTATATCCTGCCTTAATAACATGTTCTAAGGACGTAACATTTGCGGTGTATGTTATCTTCCCGTCCTCAATGTTGAACATTTTTAGTTTCTTAACCATATCCTCTACTCGTTCACGAATAGGGATACTGTGGCTATTATCTGCATCTATATCTATATCTGCTCCTTGTTGTCCTCCTGCTGTTACTGCTGTTGTTCCTGCTGGCTGCGGTGCACGTGCAGGTGGTGGTGTTGCTCCTGGTGCAGGCTGCTGTGGCAGCGGTGCTGCTGCTGGTGATTGTGCTGCAGAGTCGCTGGAGGGAGGAGGAGGGGGTGGAACTGCTGCAACAGGGGTGGCTTCTGTTGTTGTTACTGTTTGTCCTTCCGTTGCTGCTGTTGCTTCTGTTGGTGTCTGTGTTGCAGGGGCTCCGCTCGGGGCGCCGGCACCGAAGACTGTTGCTGTTTCTGGTGCTGTTGGTCCTTGTGCGGGGGGAGAAGAAGGTGCTGCTGCGGTTACGGGGACAGTAGAAGCAACAGAAGGCTGCTGCTGTGGCTGCTGCATTCCTGGGGCTACTGCCGCAGGCTGTGCGACTCCTGCAGGGAATTGCGTTGAAGCAGGAACCGCTCCTGCTACAGCAGGCATTGCTGCTCCTGTTACTGGAACTGCTGCAGGTGTTGCTGCAACAGGTGCTGCTGCAACTTGTGCTGGTGCACCTGGTGCTGCTCCTATTAAGAGTTCCTGATCCATGGCTCCCTCGAGGAATACAGGCGCTGCTGCTTCGGCTGCGTCTGTTTTTTCCCCTTGGCTGCCGTCCTTGTTGCCCTTGTGCTTGTTTTTGCGGGTCTTGTGCTTGGGGTGAGGCACAAGGTCCATGAGGGCTGAGCTGTCGTCGCCTTCTTCTGCCGTGGGTTGGATATCAGTAAGCAAGGCATTGAGTTTCTGCATGCGGAACTTATGGTAGTTTGCATGGATTGTTGTGGCACGATCTATGAGGCCTCCCTCTTCTAAGAGAGCCTGTACGTAGACACCAAAGGCGTCAATAGCAGCAATAAATGCTGCAAGAGCTTCCCGTGCACTGTCTTCAAAGTTACCGCGTAGTACCAACACGTGGTCAGCCAATACAACATCAGAAGACATTGTTGTCTCTGCTCCTCTACCCAATGCACATAAAAGCCCCAAAAGTTCTCTTCTTCTTTTCAGAAACTCTGCCTTTATATCAAGGGAGTGGAAAGCGGCGACACCGTCCTGTGCCTTCTGCATCAGGTCCTGCAGCAGCTGTGCTGAATCCTGGTAGACGTAGTACAAGTCTGAATCGAGTTTGTCGTATTCCATCGCCTTGTTATAAAGACTTATTAAACGAGAGAAAATCCCTTGTTGGCCACTGTGCCCTGTCCAGTTCTGCATGAGGGTCTGAGAGACCGTCAAGGACAGCTCGCAGTTTTTTGCTCTAATATATTTCTCTATGAGCTTTGCATACTCCTGGCCACCACAAGGCAGAGGCTGGGAGGCACCTGAAGAAGTCTCTGGAAGCTCGCAGAGCCCTTTAGATCCATCTCCCGACGCCTGTATGCAGGTTTCTTTGTTATCCTTCGCAGATGCAAGTTGCGAAAGGAACGAAACCCAAGGGGAAGATGGGTCTTGCAGCTTGTCGAGCTCTCGCTGTAAGAAGGAACTCATCGCCTGCTGCGCCTCACAAGCCTCCTCCTCCTCATCATCTGCAGACGAACCGTCATCCTCTGCTTCTGATGCTGCTAATGATGCACGCTCCTGCAGCAGAGAGGTGGAACCCATTGCAGCCACTGCTGCGGGAGGGGCCAGGGCGTCAGCTACAGACTGTAGCTGAGGTGCCCCTTCCCTCTTCGCATCTACAAGTAAACAACCCCATTGGTTGTCTGCTGCATCCAACGCCAGTAACGCAAGTGACACGAGCGAACCGCACACCCCCAAGGGTCTTCTCATCTTGCAAAGAGGTAAAAGCAGTACCGCTTGTCCCTGTCTTATTCTGTGAGGGGCTTCCTACTATCTTGCGCAGCGTCACTCAGCTGCTGTTTGTTCAAATGGCCACAGCTGGCAGAGGAAGCAAATGCCACCTTTACCTACAGAAACACCACAACACAAGCCCACACATACCTGCATAATTCTCCCCACACAACAGCAACAACTTCATACACACAGACACCAGAAGCATATGGGAATACGTAGGCGCCCCTCTACGGACAACACTGCAGATCGACATAGGTCTAGATTACAAAACACTGGCGCGCCAGCTGCTGCAACATACGCTACAGCAGATGTTGAACGTGCTGCAGGGCAGCTCGTGAAGTGGGGATGGGCAGCAGGGGCACTGCCCATACACCTCACCATACAAATCACATAGCCCTGTTGTGCGGTGCATGTGCGAAGTCTTGCTGCTGCTTTTGTTGCGTAAGCTGCTGCTGCTGCTGCTGTGGCAGTTCTTACGGGCGCGCACCTTTCAGTACAGCTTAGGTTGGGGTGAGATGCCGTTGCCCCGAGAAGAAAAGGCCCGCGTGATTGGGTTGAAGATTTATGGGGTTTAAAGGAAGCATCGATGCCTCTCTTGTTTCCCCAAGCCAGCAGAAGGCTGGAAGCTAGCTGGTGGATGGTATCCAAGGGGGAGCAGATACTTGAGAGGAGGTAATTGTTTGCAGTTGAAAAAGGCAAAACTGGGGTTAATTCCCAAAAGGAAGAAGAGGAAAATGAGAAGGTAAAGATAATGAAACACCGTGGGGGCAGGCAGGGGCCACCACGAATGGTGAGCCGTGTCCGCTGCTGGAGTGCCCCTCAAGCGCAGGAAGCCAGAAAAATACAAAGGGAAGAGGGAAAAGCTCCATAAAACTCCTCACAGGGGCGAAATAAGCAGCAAAAAGGGAAGAATACAGGGGACGTACCTCTTAGTCAAATTAGTGCTTTCGTTGGCAGCCGCAGCGTGCCGACCATCGAGCATTACTCAAACTGAGTTTTTCGTCCCGTTAAATTCATACTTTTTATTGCAGTTAAAATACTTCCAGTGTTTCTCCCTCAATTTACCACTAGATCACCTTCTAAAGAGGAAGAAAGCATTGCAATTTCCTATCTGCTATTGTGTGTCCGCTGGTGTACGCTGCTCGTGGGCCGCCTCGACACTGTTGCCGCCCCCGAAACACTGAAACACGCACATCTATTGGGAGGAAGTAAACTCGGAGTTTTCAGGTTTTTGTGCTCATTGGATTCATTTTTGTTCACTAACACAAGCGAAAGCTCGAGGAAACTCAACAACTCATGGGAAAGCCAGAGGTGAATATTCGCCATGTGGCGGAAAATGCAAAAACTGAAAAAGCATGTTGAGAGCATTTTTCTTGGGATACTTAGCAAGTCCAAGAACAAGGAAACATCAGTTCAATGTGATTACATTATTTTTAGTTTTCCACACAATGGCGTGCAGAGGCAACACCCCTAACTACAGTTGGTTATCTTCATTCCATGTAGTTTGTGCTTATTTAACCGAATGTCGGGAATGTTCGCATTTTTCTACTAGAACCAGAAAAACCACCTAAAGCATCGCTCCCGTACGTAAAATGCAACTCTGCACCGTTCCGAGGTGTTCACGTGTAGTACTTAATTTTCATTAGCGCTCGCTTGCAATCCACTTTAACCGCTACGTATATTTGGTCATATGAAGCCTGTTTGCTTGACCAGCTACGTTCCATTTTCTTCAACCCCTTCGTCCGTTTGCTTCTCTCCCTACTTCGTGCGTTGGCTTCCCGCCCTCAGTCAGTGTTCCTCACCTAGTCCTCCGGCGGACTCGAAATACTCGCCCTTCCCCCAATTATCTGCTTTCTTTTGTTCAATACTACACTCCTATGTTGTTTGTTTGCTGCTCCGTCCTCTCTTATTATGCTTACTGCTTTCGACTGTTTGTTGCCTATGATTGTCGTTACTGGTTTTTGCTTCATCGTCTTAATATCGCCTCGGTTAAACGAATCCGGCGAACAGAACGTACAACCCAAAAGATGCGATGCCAGTGGTTGACCCAAAACGCTTGCAACATGAAAAACTGGGGCAGTTTACGTTGACGGAGGTCTGTACAGGACAACTGCTCAGCCAGCACAGCCCACCAACACAGAGGCAGTATTATCTAAATGGTGTGACAAGAGGATTTTCTTGGGAGTTATCTAATTCAATTTTTGCGCATGCTGGGCTCCCCTGTGGTAAATGCATGTACGTGCATTCGAAATATAATGCAGGAACCCGTAGATTGCCCGCCTGTACATGCAGTGCATGCACTATGCACACTTATTTCAAACATGCAATGCAAGGAAAGACCAAAGAGAGGAGGTAGCGATCCTCTTCTAAACAAAGCGACAAACAGAAAGAGTTCACATAGCCTGGAAAGAAGCTTTGGGGCACAATGTGCACGCATGCATGCACGCACCTACATGCAACCAATATAGATATATACATATGTAGGTAATATGTGCAAATATGTGCTTTAAAATAGCGCCGTATAGTTGAGAAAACATGCCGGCATCCGAGCCTGATCAACAATGAGGCATAGGGATGGAGGAGAAGAATAAGAGACGAAGGCACAATGCACTGGTTGCAGAAGCACTGTGAAGCGCTACAAGCAACCAGGGACAATACGTAAATTACGAAAAACGTGGAGGCAAGAAAGGATATTCCTTCGTCTTCCATTCCACAGGAATGAACTTGTGCTCAACTGATTCTGCATCCACCTGCACCAGGCGCCACCCAGGTCTGAAGAACATCAGAAAGCGGCCAGCACACACAGCCCCAAAATGCATGCATTCAAAGTGCTGCCCAAGACAGTCAAGCACGGAACCCCCCCAAGCGCGCACAAACAAAACCTGAGGTGCGTTCAAGACGCATGCACCGAAAACCTCAAAACACACTGCATGCAAAACACGCAAGTGCAAGCATTGCAGAGGAGTTGCAGGTTACGCATATACATGCACTCATCTTCCTTGCATGCACGGGGATGGCCCGTGCAGGCAGCTCGCATGTATTCAGTGTCCACCGATGCATGGAGTGCCCATGTGGGTGCATGCAGTGTATCTGCTTGGAGTGTAAGAACAGACCGTCCGTCGTTGGTGGCAAAGCCACAGGAGGAAGTGACAATTTGCTGAATTTCTTCATCCTTCAAGTCCGAGTCCGAGTGGAGATGACCGTGGAAGGAGGCCCTCACCTGAACCCCAACAAAAATAGAAGAAAAGCAGCACATATATCTTGTATATGCATACACAAATAAAGATAAGCTACATTGTTGTCGAAACAATGAAGAATATACTGGACTGATTAAGCATTGTATTACAGAGGAACTTGTGACCCTGTGGTGTTGTTTGTTGCTGGAGCGGCGGCTCCTCCTGCGGTGTAAATCAATCTGCACTTTATTTGAAGTAATATTTTGCTCAGGAAGTTACAAAGCAAGCAAATAAATGGGGAAAGAAATAGAGACGATTTGAGAAACTACTGTGCAGCTTGATAAGCAAGCAATAGGGAGAAGATCATGTGCATCACAACCCAAGGAAGGACTGAAGAGACAAGATGCACCAAGAAGGTAGAGTAGCAAGCAAAGAGTAAAGCAGTGCAACAGAGGCGAGGACGGAGGCATTCTTTTCTTTGTCCGCCACCTTCCTTATTATAAGAGAGGAAACAAACTAACAACAGACCCACTTTGTACTGTTTCAGTAGAGGCAGAAACCGACGCCGCCACTTTTCAGGGAGCTGGAAGGTGGAGACGACGTTGTGCTGCATACAAACCCACCAACTGCAACTTCTATGGTTTGCTCTTGTGTTCCGCCACAAGCTGCAATGCAAAAAGCAGTTTAGGCTTTAGGGTTAGGGTTCTGGGTGTATGGGCCAGTGCTGTGCAACGTCCTTACGGTGGACGATGAAAACCTGTTGCTTTTACGAGATCAGAAGTGCTCTGCAACTGCCAGTTTGCCACTGCACTTGGGGTGTACGTACAATCTTCATCTGGCGGACTTCAATTTTGGTGGTGCTGTCGTCGGGCTCCTCCCAGTGCCGCCAGTAGAATTGATGGTGTTGCAGTAGGAAGATGTACTTTGCTCCTTCACAAGCAAAGAAAGGCAAAACGGAACAAAAGCGTCAAATAATAAGACGCAGCATACAACAAGCCAAACAAGCAGGAAGCAAACAGAAACCCAACGCCACAATAAACGCAAACCAGCAAAACTGCCAAGTTAATCAGCAAGGTAAAAGGCAGCAAAATAATCAGTTGGCCTTCCACAGATGCCCACAAGAGACAAATGGACCAGTGGACAAGACAGATGCAGACTAGCAAACATAACAGAAGGACGATATATATATATATATATATTATATATATAT